AGAGTAGCCCCATTGGGTTGCATAGGGGCTTCATGCCTTGCTGAAACTCCCTCCTGGAGAGGACGGGAAACATTTTTCCTTCCTCTCCAGCACTGCAAGGGTTAAACTCCCAGAGTTTGTTTGCTAGGAAGACCAAGAAAGGAGTTGGAGGGAGGGGTCGGAAAAGAGGAAAAGCTCTTATCTGGGGGTGGGGAGGGGTTTGATTTGAATGGCAGAAGAGGACTGGAAGAGCTTCAGATAATCAACAGCTGGGGAAAGCCCCACAGCTGGATCCCGGGAAGGTTTACTTTGGAGTAAGTCAATGGGGGATAAGCTTTGAGATCTTGGAAGGGAGGAAGGCTGAGATCATTCTCAGCCAAGGTTGCTGTAGGTTTGCCAACTCGTGGGTGCCAAATTCCTGGACATTAGGAAAGGCGCACCTGTATGTTGACACCCTTTTAGCAATGCTCCCTCTAAGCTGTGGAGTCTTGTGAGCAAAAAAATCTACTCTGTGACCTACTGGCATTAGAGTTGTGAGCGAGCAATTTGGCTACTGCATACATTAGTTTGCTTTGGAGCCCTCCTTCCTGACCTAGGACAAAAATGTGTGAGCCAGAGGCTAAAAAACTGTGAGCTAGTTACAGCTTATCTACAGACATGAGAGATCAGTTCCACTGGAGAAAACTGGAATTTTGAAGGGAACCCTGTGGCATTGTACACCCATCCTCCCCAGTCTCTTTCCCCAAATCTCCAGGAGTTTCCCAGCCTGGATCTGGCATCTCCTGCCAGTGGCCAAGAGGGACCTGGCAACCCTAGTATGAGCTTTTTTAACATGCATTTTGTTCAAACTTTTGTTGCTCTTAAAGGTGCCGCTGGACTCAAACCAGGATTTACTATTTGCTGGAAAGAGTTTGTTGCAGATAGTGTGCTTTAAGCAAACCATGATTTACCACTATGTTTGAATGCAGCTTTACATTCAGGCCAAGAACCTAACTATATGATGCACTTTCCCTGGTTCTGTTTACTGGTCAAATAAACCACCGTACTCTGGGAGTTTCTTGAATTGCATGGGTGCAATTCAGATGGGAACCATGGCTAGCAAAGAGAGGAGGGCTTACGTCTTCCAGCTGGCTGCACTATTTTACTGACATGAATTTGAACCCAATCCCTGCATACCTGAGCACAGATTAACTCCAAAACACATCTGACCCGCAGATAGATTCAAGAATTAAAAGTCCAATTTGCCACAATGGCCTGTGATGTCACTGGATCCTCCCTATGATGTCATTGGTTCCCAGTTCTTTAAATGACTTAGCAATGCCTCTGGCCCAGCCCCAGCCCCCCCTCCCCCAGAAACTGGAAAGTTTTGGGGCCTGATAAAGATAAAGGCTATGGTGCAAGGAAGATTCTTCTTTTGACCATATCCTGTTCTTACGGGCTCTGCTGGTGGAAACATACTGACAACTTTTATGTTTTCCCTATCAGGGCACAAAGCAGCCTACTGGGACCATTTGATGCCAGGAAAGAGCATCAGGAAAAGGCTTAAACCTTTTACCTTACACACATCTGAACACACACACACTTC